CCGATATGATATATTTTGGTGTTACTAGCAATACTTTCCCATTACGCTAGAAATACAGACTTGTCATGTCTTACTATGTATTAAAGATAAAGATTCTCGAAGAATCTAAAATCAATCCTAGAAGGAGTCACCACTATTATGAATAGAGAAAATTATAATGATTATTGATCACATCTCGAAGATGCGTGTCGTTGCAACTTTAGAGTGCACAAACATGCATCTTGATGTATGCATGATATAATATAATAAATTTCGTTCAACATTATTCTCTATTCTCAATGTTCTTGAAGAACAGCGAGACAAACGTCAAGACTAAATGTTGTGAAAATCTTGTAATCTCACTTGCACTATCCATGTTTATGTTTTCCAAATAATGGTTAATGCTATGAGAATGATTGACTTCACCTAATGTTGTCGTCAGGGGGAGTATTAACAATATATTGATTGTCATTCACGAGACTCTAGAAGTTTCAAACAATACTTAGAAGGTGTTTTATTGTAATGGTGACTTCCTATTCTCTGTTGAAGGCTCTATCATGACACTGTTTATAAAAGAGGGTTATTGTTTATGTACACTTCATATTTTTACTTCACGGTTTCGAAGTAAGGTGAGGTTAAAATTATGAAATGATTCGTATATTGTATGTGATATACTTGTTTAAGTCTCTATGTGCATATGCTTCCTGTAGAAAGTGTTTTTGGAATAGCAGGACAGTTCTGCAAAGTTTAGGGGGGGAACTTCCCTAGAATATTAACCCGTGATCAGAATTCTAGAGAATTCAAAATGATATGATCCAGAAGGTCACAATTTGTCCTAAAGACATATGTTGTACTCTCTTTTTTCCTTGATGAGTTTTTCTGAAGTTTCTCATATAAGGTTTTTAATGAGGCAGCAATGCGCAAATGCATTAAGCGACAATAATGTACTCTTTCTCCACATTTTTTCCTATTGGGTTTTTAGAGTTTTAATGAGGCATGCATTTGTCATGATATTCGCCCAAGGAGGAGTGTTAAGAATTCCTCGGTTAGAGGATTGATAGGCCCATACCATATATGCCCTGAAGGCATCTATATAAAGAAACCGGATGTATACGTGAAAAGACTAATGAAAAGATGGCTCCCCTCATATACGTGTGTTTCGTGTCTATTCTTGTATGTTGTTCTTGAGGATGGAAGAGGAAGATAGGATCTATATGCAACTTCTACACACCCCTTTCTTGGGATTGGGAATGGGACCAATCCGCGAATAGGCCGATTCTCAACAATTTTGATTTTTCAGCATCATGAGACGAGTGCAAAAACAGCCGGCTCAATCAGCTCGGCTCATTTCGTAAGCTCGTGAGCCAAGCAAAAGTATCATTAGATTCTATTTTATTTGGCACAACTTTAAACGACTGAGAAGAGTGCAAAAAGAGCTGGCCCGACAAGGTCGGTCTAGCCCGAAAAAGCTCGCCTATGCCTACCACGGTCAGTGCGGCTCAGGCTCCATTTTATAGTCCGCACAATAGACTAGGCTTGGGCTTCCGCTTCCATCATATGGGCATTGAAGTCATTGACAACACCGGCCCGGCTCACACAACATGGCTACTTTTAGGCGGGTTCAACCTTTGCTTCTCGGCCTGATGTCGGGCTTTGTGCAGGCTTGGGCGGCTCGGTTTTTTCACTAGAATTTTTAAACCCTGGCCCGGGTTGGCCCAAAAATCAAATAGGCCGTTTGTCTTCACGATCGTTTTTTTTTATAATATGTATCTGTATTTCTAAATAAGAAAAACATACATGGGTGTATACAAATACAGACACGACACGTATTGGAAACAGAGACAACTATCCCAGCCAATCTTCACAAAGAACCCTAAACAAGAAAAAAATTACATCGATGCCCCTGGATCCTTCGCGAACCATCCATGATCGACCACCCGCCGCCACCCGCCGCCATCGAAGAAGAAGTCGAACACCACTATGAGCCGGAAAAGTCCCATCGCACGCTGGCTTTGAAACGAGTCAAAATAGACACCCATCATGGGAAACAGGATGAAGCCATCGACGATCACCCATCGACCGGGGTCGCGCCCCAACTTCTCCAGCTCTAGGATCTGAGCACGCCACCAGCGACCGCCGCCGCCGAGTGAGGATTGAGCTAGATCCGGCTGGCTAACAACCACAATACCCACAGATAGCTCCGCATCCTTGCAAAAGAAGGCTAACAGCAACGTCACCTGGCAAAGACGATGAAGCATCTGCCCGGACTCCTGTATAGAACTCCCCGACCTCGCCATAGGCGCTGGAGAAGAACGCCACCGAGACGAAGGAGATGTGGGGAGAAGTTATTCTCCAGCGTCGTCAACTCCTCCGTCTCGCCGACGCCGCCCGAAAAAGCACGCCGCAGAAGAACACCCCCCGGCGAACCCTAGCTCCGCCATCAGTAGATGGCGAGCAAATCCTAGACCTAGATCCACCTACTCTATATACAGCCGCACGGCAATTCTCCGGCCCATTCCCCTCTGAAGCCTCTCTGGCCACCGAAGAGGAAAGGAGCCGGCGAAATCGCCGCTGGAAACGCGCGTCATCTCTTTTTCGTTCTGCTGTAGCGAGGGGGAAAAGGAAGATTGCCTTGATATGTTAGTGAAGTACTTCACGATCGGGGTTGGCGACGCCAGGAGAAGCAGGCCGCGGGACGCCATCGGCGCCGAGCATGCCAGTGACATGTGGCAACGTGATCTAAAGATATGATTCGTTGTGGCTAGCTTCGCTCGGCCGGTAGCGTCCACGTCATTTGTTATTTTCGTGGCCGTTCGATTCGGCGGCAGCGGACGATCAGATCGGGCGAAGCGGTCGCGTTTTCTGAAAAACCCCTTTCAGTTTTCGGAAATCAACCCGCGCTCCAAACGTCCTCTCATATTTTTTTACAAAAAACGTCTCATGTTATTTCCAAATCGACGCGCAGTCCAGAACGGATGCGCACTGGTTTGTTTGCAAAAAAGACCTCCACTTTATCGAAATTCAACCCGCGCTCCATAGACACTCTTATCATTTTTTACGAAAACATCCTCTGATTTTTCTCAAATCAAAAAACAATCCACCTTTCATTATTTCTTTTCTTTTCTCCAAAATAAATATGTGGGGCCCGTGCACCGCGCGCATGGGCGCGCCTGAAGGACTGGTTCTAACAAAAAAAGGCATGTGGCAACGTGCATGTTGCTGCACGCACTCTACGTGAATTAATTGCTCAACGTCCTGCACCTGCACCTCCCCGTCTAGTCCACGGTATCTCGGTGGCAGATCCGTTTTGGGTTTTTTGCTGCACGCATTTCTAAGTGTCTAAATTAATTTGCTCAACGTCTCTCACCCAACCTCGCACATTTTAGTACTCGCCGTCAAGAGATTCGATGTGACGGTATCTCAAAATTTTTTGGCTTTTGGAGCCAACTAAACGGGGCCTCAGTGTTAAAGTTCCCTTAAAAGTTTATTTCTATTTCATTAAATATTTTGACATAAAGTATTAAATATAGACTAAAAAATAATTAATTATATAGTTTACAATTAATTTGTGAGACGAATCTTTTAAGCCTAATTAGTCCATGATTTAATAATGTGGTGCTACAGTAACACATGTGCTAATGACGAATTGATTAGGTTTAATAAATTCGTCTCACGATTACTAACGGATTCTGTAATTTGTTTTTTTATTAGTATCTAAACACCCCATACGACACCGCCATATAACACCCAATATAACATCCTAAAACTTTACACCTTGATTTAAACAAGACCTAAATTACGTGTATAACATGGCTCAACGCGCGTCACGTATGCTGACAAAAAGAAATGCGTCGTACATCGAGCAATATGACGGCTCGTAACGCCGTTGCTTTGCCGTCTATTTGGGTTAAAAAAATTTGATCGGGTATAAATTAGACGTACTGATCGGGTATAATTTAGACGTACACAACTCAAACACTCTACATTCACATCACACGCACACACACGCGTGCATATCCGTATACACGCAAATAAGAGAATGGGAGGCACATCGCCTCCATTGCACGGGAAACGCGTAGTACCACCGAACGCGCACGTGTTTGTACCCTAAATTTTTTGAAAAAAAATCCAGAAAAAAATTAGATCACCGACCACAGGCCCATTCGCACTATTTGGGTTAAATTAACCACAGTTACCTCGCTAAACGAGGAGGAAAAAAATGCCTGCCGTCGTCGTTCGACGAGCCCGAGTCGTGCTCCCACAGTACACGACGAGTCGACGACTTCCACCACCGTTGTATAAGTGAGTGAGCGTCATCGGCGCAAGATCAAGTGCGAGCGCAAGAAAGGATGATGGTAAATCGGATTTGGGAGCAGTAGCAGCCCGCCGCTCGTCGATGTGCAGTGTGGACCACTGGATCTGGGGTGGAAGGAGATCGGGTACACGTACTTCACAGACAAGTCGCTGTCGTTTTGCTTCATCCGGTTCTGTGGAAGATGCGTCCAGCTCTTTGAGGAGATAGCGAGGGGATAAAGAAACGAGTGGATCTGAAAGAGAAGCGATGAGAAAGACAACACAAGGGATAAAGAAACGAGTGGATGAACATGATAGACGTGTCAGTTTTTTTATTCGTATTGTGATCATAAAAATTATACTAAAATATGTAATTGCACTATATTTTAATTAGCAATATATTTTATTGTATGGATGATTTTAAAAATATTGTAGTTAAGTTTATCTATGATTAATCTCATTTGTATCAAGTAAGCAATAAAATGATATACAAAGATCTTATTCATACTTGACCATGGTTGTATGCATGCATTAAATAGTTCTTAAACAGTTGTACAAGCTGTGCGTGTGATTTTTTAAAAACTTATACACAACAGTCTGTCTTGGTTGGCCATGCAGTGCAATGTGCAATCTCCATCCAGAATAAAGCGCGTCAAGGGCTCACGGCGTCACCTAGGTAGCTGGGCTGGCTTCATAAATTGCGTCGAGAAGACTTTTACCGATCGAGCATGGAGAGCCAGAGCGATGTCCCGCTCCTCCCGAAGCTCCCGCGGCCGCCGGCGGAGAAGAGGGGAGGAGGCAAGATTATCCAGGGACACCTGGCGAGGGAGGTGTGGGAGGAGTCCAAGAAGCTGGGGGAGGTGGTCGGCCCGGCCGTCTTCATGAACCTGGTGTTCTCCTCCATGAACCTCGTCAGCCAGTCCTTCGCCGGCCACCTCGGCGACCTCGACCTCGCCGCCTTCTCCATCGCCAACACCGTAGTAGACGGCTTCAACTTTGCCATGCTGGTATGTGCATACAGATTACAGACGCTTCTCTTGCTGCCTAGCTATATCTGCTCTCTCGTTGTAATGTGTGAGATCCAAATCTAATCCACCATTGACCTCCACTACTCCAGTATCCAATGAAGGCATCGGCTTCTCTGGGCAGAGCATGCCTTTTTTTTTGCATCATAATGGACTAGAAGAAAGAACATTTTACATACCATTGACTCACTGTTCCATAGGTAGTGTTATGGAACTAGAAAAAAGAACATTCCACCATACGATGGTAGATTTGTCGGTGCTCACTGACGGATGGTGATTCAGAGAGTGATTTAGTTCCTCGTCGAACGACATAATACGATCTGTGTCAGTTGTATTGTATTGAATACATGATGTATAGATCGATGTCCACTAGGAGACCCATATCTCTCCTTATATACTCTAGAGGGGTAGGGTTACAAGGAAATTATCCTATTTGGTACTATACAATATCTTGCGGTGCACGTCGAACAAGAACGCCTTTAATCTTGTAAATTTGAGCCAGTAGGAAAATGAAAAGGCGGGGGCATACCCCCCATAAACATCTTGACGAGTCACATGGTGAATTCCAAAAGTGAAGAAATTGAAAATGCAGAAAGTGCAACAAGGTGAAGTGTGCCCATTAGTTTGCGAGCTTGGAAGATGAAGAATGAATCTTGTAGCAGGATCAAAGAAAAAGAAGTTTGAAATTTCCTTTTGTATCAAAAGAATGTTGTCCAAGATATCACGAACAACATTATTAAGTTGATGCAAATCAATCTTGCAAGATACCATCAATTCCAATAGTGGATTGAAAATGCAAAAAAAGTACGCCATGCATTATTTGCAATCTGTCATGTTTCCTTTGGTAAAAAATGTTTTACCACATTTAACTGTGCACAGCCTTAGATGAATATTTTCTATCACCAGGTGAAGTGGGGTGAAATGTGCTAATTAGTCCCCGAGCATGAAGAATCCGAGCTCCAGGAGTTAATGGTCGGCGATGTCGAGCACCAAGAACTCCGAGCGTGTCTGGCGATGTCCGGCGCCGAGAGCACTACGAAATTGGCGATGAAGCACGAGCGCAAAAATTAGAGCATCGAGTATGGCGAACAATCCGATCGGTGGTTCAGTCCATAAACCTAGCGGTTCAATGATTGATGGTGCAGAAAGAAAGCACGGTGGTCCGACCAACCTGCAATATAAATATGTAACGGGTAGTACATGATGTAGAAATATATGAAAGGAGAATAATCAGCAATGGTGATTAAATCTCCTCACTCGACGATCAATTGGTATGAAGATGTATTTATATTTAATATAAACCGTCCGGACTAAAAAGCTAGCCCGTTAACCATAACGCGGAGCGCGTAGCCCATGTTCGTGCAAGAAAAACAAAGCGCTAAACGACCACCCATAACGCAGAGGCGGACACTCATGCATGTGTAAGGCCATCTTGAATATCCAGCGTCAACATGACTACGGGGTTTAGAAAATCGTTTGGAGATCAAACATGGAGAAAACAGCTAGGAGAAACATTATGGCGATATCCGAAGATTAGAGAATATTTAGAAAAATATTAAAGCGTGACTTAGCTTTTAGCGGAATGCGGTACGTGGCGTTATCTCGGTCGGCGACGCGGGTAGCTCGCTTAGGGCTCGCTTGGCTAGAATGGGCTAAACGAAGTTGATCTCGTGTTGGAGTAGGACGAACGTAGTCGGAGCTTGGTGGTGTCAATCCGCGTACGAAGACGTGCACCGTGGTTGTCGAAGGATGTCGACGCGATCCGCCGAGTTGCCGCGAAGGATGTTGATCTTGAGTTACGCCATCTAGTTCGTCAGGGATCAGCGCGAACGAGCCCCACGGTGGGCGCCAACTGTCGATAAAAGATGCTCGGCAGTCCTCCGAGGGGTATCCCACGAAGGTAGACTGATCGGTGGAAGTGCGCATGATCAGGAACCAAATAGTGACACAAGGCATAGAGACAGCGATTTAGACAGGTTCAGGCCATCTGATCGACGTAATACCCTATGTCCTGTGTCTTTAGTGTATTGTATTGAATACATGATGTTTAGATCGATGTCCACTAGAGGACCCTTACCTCTCCTTATATACTCTGGAGGGGTAGAGTTATAAGAAAAATATCATATTTGGTACTATACAATATCTTGCGGTACACGTCGAACAATGCCGTGCACGTCTTGATCTTGTGGTCTGGGCCACCCCTGGGGATGCGGCCCATGTCTTGTCTTGTGATACCGGAAGTCATACCCCCACAACTACGTAACGACGCAGTTGTGCAAACAATCTGTAGTTTCTACAAGTAGGATAAATTTTATGGCTGTACGTACAAAACGTAGGACCAGTAGGAAAAAGAAAAGGCAGGAATCAAACATCTTGGGTACTGAATTCCAATAGTGGATTGAAAATGCAGAAAGTACACAATGCATGCATTATTTGTAATCCGTAATATTTCCTTTTGGTAAAGAATGTTTATCACATTTATTAAGTTTGCAATTCTTGGGTATTCAATTCCAATAGTGGATTGAAAATCTAAAAAAGTACGCCATGCATTATTTGCAATCTGTCATATTTCCTTTGGTAAAAAATGTTTTACCACATTTAACTGTGCACAGCCTTAGATGAATATTTTCTATCACCATTGCACCTACTAATTGGAGGCCCTCGCAAGACGAGGTAAAAAAAATAAGACCTAGAAATTCTTGAAAAAAATAGAGATCTGGTCATCAATTCAGTAAACCATCAATGATATGGTAATAAAGAAAACTAGACCTAGAAGTAACTAGATGATATTTTACTAAGAAGAAAATAGCACCTAAAATCTCCTCAAGGCATCGATGATAATAATTATAAGGAAAAAGTCTACATCACCCAAACCTTTAGCACTATGGCTACTTCACCCTCTGAAGTTTGAAACCAGGTAACAAGCACACTAAACTTTCACAAGCTGTTTAATTTACACCCTATAGTGGTTTTGCCTCCCGGATTTGCCTACGTGCCTGTCCAAGCTGGACCTTAGGGACACGCTGGCAGAGGGCCGCTGGTTAACGCAAGGCGCAGTTCGCGCACCTTGCAGCTGTAGGTGTCCCCGCTTGACCTCGTGAGAGCGAAGCACGGGGCGCAGATGGCGCGTGTGGCATCCTGGATCTTGCGCGTGTATGGGGCGGGGCGCAGTATGGGGCTCAACCTCGCGCGTTGCGGTCCAGGTGCTCCTCCACCGTGTTGCTCCGGATCTTGTCCCGCACCCACCCCACGATGTCCTGCCCCTCGCCGAACTCTGCCTCCACCGCGCGGCGACACGTGATGAGCTCCATCAGCACCACGCCGTAGCTGTAGATGTCGCTCTTCTGGTCCACCTTCAGCGTGTACCCATACTCTGCAAACATTCCCATTCCGATTGCATGTCAGAACAATCGCTTCAGATCGATTCATGGATGGATCGGCGATGATGCCAGCCTGGCGCGATGTAGCCGTAGGAGCCGGCGACGACGGAGACGGACTCGTTGGTGCGGTGCCGGTGCGCGGGCGAGGCCAAAGTCGGCGATGTGGGCCTCCGTGTTAGCGTCGAGGAGGATGTTGTTGGACTTGATGTCGCGATGGATCACCGGCGGGTGGCAGTCGTGGTGGAGGTACGCCAGCCCCTACGCCACGCCGGCGGTGACGTTGTAGAAGGGACACCCAATCCAAAGGCGCTTCTCCGTGGCCTCCGTGGCTCCTCCCCACAGTGCCGTTGGGCATGAAACGTCAGCATCATGGCGTCCGCGTCGTTGTGCACGTACCCCAACAGCCGACGATGTTCCGGTGCCAGAGCCGCCCTAGAAGCGCCACCTCCTTGAGCACATCCGCGTTCAGGTCGCTCGCTGACGCCACGGCGTCGCCGTCCACCAGCGTCAGCCACCACAGCTTCTTCACAGCGATCACGGCGCACGCGCGCACGGGAGCTCCGCCCTATACACCACCCCGGTCGCACCCATGCCCACCACGTTCGCCTCCTTCACGCACGCCACCATGTACGGCGGCGCTCGTGAACCCGGGCCGCTAGAACGCCATCATCCGCCACGGCACTGCTTCACACGACGCGAGGAGTGAGCGGTGGAAGGACAGGGCACGACGGAGGCGGCGCGCCGCCATGGAACCTCACCAACGCCCGGTGCTTGCATGCGTCGTGCAGCCATGCCCTCACCGATCGGGTTCAGGCCCCACGCAGCAGCCCACGCAGCAAGCTGCAGCAGTGCCGCAGCCGCCATGGACGTCAGGTAGGAGACGGAGCTGAAGGTGGGGATGACAGCTGGGCCCGGCAACCACTGTGTCACTGTCTGCCAACTTGGAGCGCCACGTAGGCAAAACCAGGTGCTCAAAACCGCCTAGGGGTAAAAATGACTGGTTTTGTAAAGTTTAATGTGTTAGATACCCAGTTTTATAGGTTGGGGGTTAAGTAGACCACCCACCATACGTTAGGGGGTTATTTAGATTTTTACCTAATGATAATAATGACTATGGGATCTCTTCTCTTTTCTAAAAAGTTACCACATCTGCCATTGTGACAAACAAATAAAATAACCCAACAAATTGTATCTATTTTGTTTACCTCTATCACTATAAAACATAAAAGTGACCATCTAAGTTACCTACCCTGCCATTATGATAAACAATCTACGCAACCCCATCAATTTGCATCTAAACTGCATGCTTATGCTATTTCTAAAATAGAACTAAACCCGTGAAATCTACATCTAAATTACTAAACATGCTATTGTGAATTTTTCAAATAACCATAAACCATACTATATATGTTTTTAAATTACCCACTTCCACAAATATTAATATATACAAAGTTACAAACTAACTTAAAGTAAATTAAACATACATGTTGTGCCATCACTTAGATTACGTTTTTTTAAAGAACGGCAAAGCTTTGCTGCAAAATTTATTAGATGAATGAATGAAAGAGAAAACAGAGACAAAATAATAATTAAAAAACCACCTGCCGACTCAATTATGTGGAAAGCAACTAGAATAAAAAAACAATTGAAAGAAGAGATAAAATAAAAAGAGAAAACGCTAAAGGTCCGACCGGGTGGCCAAGAAAACTGAAAAAAAAAATCCTCACACTGGAAATAAGGAACACTAGAGGTGGTTCAAGATGAGGCGTTGGCTTGCTGTGTTGCATAGTTGAATATCACATACATGCAGAGTTGCAGACATGTTTGAACAATCTAAAATTTGTTCCTCCAGTGACTGGTATACCAACAATTCTTTTAAAATATACTCCCTCCGTTCCGAAGTATAAGATGGTAGGGCTTTTCTTGATAGGTAGTTTTTGTTATGCACCTAGATATATACAATATATCTAGATACAAAGTAAAAATAATGCATCTAGAAAAAGACAAAACATCTTATAATATGGAATGAAGGGACTATTAACATCCATAAAATAATTTGTGTAAGTTGTTACTTTAGATATTTTGTAGACATATTTCATATACTTCGGTCACCTGAATTTTGTATCTATTGTTTAGGTGATGTTTTATGATGAATTTTACGATGTTCACGTAGTATACATGTGATGTTCTATGATGTATTTTGCGATGTTCTCGTACATACGACAGTCGTCTGAATTTGTGTTTGTTTGCTGTTCAGGCGACTGTGGTGATGTTCGCGTAGTGTACATGTAATGTTTTATGATGTATTTTGTAATATTTGCATAGTATACATGTGATGTTCTATGGCTGTCGTATGAAGAAAAGTCTAGCAAATCCTTTTTTTCAATTGGAGGGAGTACATTTTAACTTAAATATTATGATATATCGATATTAAAAATATAATTTTAAACACTCTATTTTTAATAAAAACGCTACTACACACTTGAATTTTTGATAGAGGAATTTGCCCCACTAACTGCAGTGCTCTGTCAGCTTGGCATGGCGAGTGCAACGGAGACGCTGTGCGGCCAGGCGTACGGGGCAAAGCAGTACCACATGCTGGGGATCTACCTGCAGCGCTCGTGGCTCGTTCTCTTGGCCTTCGCTGCGCTGCTCGCTCCGGTCTACGTCTTCAGCGGGCAGCTGCTCGCCGCGTTCGGCCAGCCCGCCGAGCTGTCGCGCGCGGCGGGCTCGGTCAGCATGTACTTTCTGCCGTCGCACTTCATGTACGCCGTTCACCTGCCAGTCATGACATTCCTGCAGTGCCAGCGCAAGAACTGGGTCCCCGCGGTTGCCACGGCGGTGGTGCTCGCCGTGCACGTCGCCGCCACCTGGCTCCTGGTGAATTATCTCGGGCTCGGGATCTTTGGTGTGGCCATGGCGTTCAACCTCTCCTGGGTGGTCTTGGCAGCGCTGCTGCTCTCGTACGCCCTCGGCGGCGGGTGCCCGGAGACGTGGAGTGGGTTCTCTGCGTCGGCGTTCGTGGACTTGAAGGAGTTTGTTACGTTGTCTGCGTCGGCGGGTGTCATGGTGTGGTATGTACCATTGCGGTATATATGTATAGTATCGTATCTCAGCGCATTGTTCTGGAGCAATATCATCTTGTTTTTTTTTCCTGCTTCTTTGTAGCTTGGAGAATTGGTACTACCGGATATTGATTTTCCTCACGGCTTACATGAAGAGTGCAGAGCTAGCCGTGGATGCACTGTCTATCTGGTAAGTCGACAATCTCGTGCCACCTTTTTATTTACCAAGAAATCTCAAATTGGTTGATCTCACAGAGTGCATTTTACTATTTCTTCATTTTTCCTTCGCTTGAACAGTATGAGTTTGACCGGATGGGAAATGATGATTCATATGGGATTCTTAGAAGGCACTGGGTAAGCAACTAAATGACATAGCTGTAATACCATCTAACAGCTAGCACTTCTCGCAAAGAGTTAATCACGGTTCCTTCCTTGTTGTTTACAAGTGTGAGAGTAGCTAATGAACTCGGGGCGGCCAATGGAAATGGTGCAAGATTTGCGACAATCGTATCAACAGCAACATCCTTTCTGATCAGCCTCTTCGCTAGTTTTCTGGCACTGATTTTCCACAACAAGCTGGCCATGATCTTCGTATCAAGTGGGGCTGTGATAGATGCAGTGGATAACATTTCCGTTCTGCTGGCCCTCACCATCCTTCTGAATGGGATCCAACCTGTGCTCTCTGGTATGCCCTCCGCCGAAATAAGAGATATACACATGGTGGCGTAACGCTTGATTTAGAGTAGTTTATTTATGGGTTTTCCCTTGGCATTAATTTTCCTTAGGAAGATAGCCATAATAGTTTCTTGATTCTTGTTACAATTGCAGGAGTTGCTATTGGTTCAGGGTGGCAAGCTCTAGTTGCTTATGTGAATGTTGGAAGTTACTACTTGATTGGCGTTCCTCTTGGTGTTCTGCTAGGATGGCGTTTCAACTATGGCGTCCCTGTATGCATATAAGTACAAAAATATTGTTGAACAACATGGGATTTATGTGTTCTAGTACTTACTTAGTCTGCAATCTGTGTAGGGCATCTGGGCCGGGATGATCAGTGGCACAACAATGCAGACTCTATTTCTGGCACTGATCACCCTTCGATGCGATTGGAATAAGGAGGTTCTGTTTTTTCTCTTTAACATTATATTGCCATAAACTCATTTCGCATTACATGATTGATCTTGGGTTCGGATGACTCCCGGGCCTGGCCATTTATCACTTCTCAGGGGGTTGCCACAGGTGCTAAAGTCTTTCGGTTTTGCAGGCACTGAAAGCTGGTAACAGAGTGCGGCAATGGAGTAGCACCAACTGAGCTTGGAGCCTTTATGCCATGACAGAGAAGTAACGAGATTTATATTGCTGTAGGCCTGTAGTCATCTTACTTCCAATGGTCACTCCATCCGTGTAAGGCGTACGTAGGTAATTTTAGTTTTGTACCAAGGCAAATTTTTCTAATTTTATTCACCAATTTATGTTTTCATAACGAAACAGTTTATTATATCAAGAAGATACAATAGCACTAAAATCACTTTTAATCTCTACACAACTAGGGAGTACACAGCCTAAGACAATAAAAAAAAAGATATGCCAATATCTATCTTGTCACAGTAAGCTACAACACACAACTTAGTCTTTATTTTAGAGGGTTTAATCTATGTGACATTATAAAAGATGGTCGCTCACGAGTCACTAAAAAGTTCGTCCACGCCGGTCCGTTCACTTTCCGTTGGGTTTTCGTTGTTTGCCAACCCTGATATATGGGTCCGGCCAGCAAAGTGTCCAAAATACCCCCTATCCTAATCCCTCTACACGCCGTGGTCCTCGCGTTGCGCCTCCGCGTCTTCTCCACCGTGCTCGCCGCTGCCGCTCTAAGTGGCCAGGCTAGCTAGAGCGAGCGCGCGCCGTTCGCGGTAGCCGAGGCGCGGCAAGGCCGGAGCTCGCCTCATCGCGTCACGCCTGCTGCCTACCGAGGACCAGCTGCAGCAACTCCGCGTGCCGATTGGATGGAGGCCGAGCACCGACTCCTGGCCCTCGTCGTCGCCGGGTGTTTTCTTTGAAATTGATGAAGATGATAGAGTCTAAGACATTCATGACCCATTGAAAACGTCAAATAAAATAAAAAAATAGCATTGTAAGTCTCTAGTACTTTTTTATACCTATTTTTTGAACTATTTATATTATATATAGTGGATGGTTTCAACTTAATCTTGAATTTACCGAATCACATTACAAAATTTATAATTGTTACCAAATTGAATGGATTTACCGAATTATATATGAATTTTTTGGACGGTATAGCCTAAACTAAAATCCTAGATTCGCTGCTGTCTGAAACCACGCCCGCATCGGTGTGTCAGGCAATCAGGTGTGACTGCTCGCTGTTGATCAGTTTTGTCTTCTTCCTGGTGATCAGTAGTGGTCTTCTTCCTTGGTGGACTACCTTCCTGTATCGATCGAGGTCCGTGACTTCGAGCAACGCATCTATGTCGACTAGTATGCATGAAGCCACCGTTACCTTTGGCATTGATCCCTCCATCGGGTATATTTGTGATCTAACTGTTTCTATGTTCAATAAGATATATGTGATGTCGTTTATGATCAGTATGCTCGTCATGGTTGTCACTGTTGTGAATATCAGTAGTTCATATATGCTTATATACGTTATCACAAATCTGCTACTGTTTTCTAGGTTAAATTAAATATTAAAATGGCTAAATTTCTAACAATAATGACTTGTGCACACACGGCCTAGCACTTTTTTTTAGAATTACACAGTACAGCGTAAACGCCACAACACGCACGCACACTCACCTCTATAAACACACGTACACAAACCCTACCCCTATGAGCACCTCCGAAGGACTAAGCCATCAGATCTTAAAATTCACGAAGTCATCACATGCGCCTCGCTGTCGACGGGAGCGCCATTAAATCCTGGAATAAATTCAGGAAAATGTGAGCACCCATGCCAAGTCGAGAACTTAAACCCGGATGGACAGGTTCCACCATAAGAAACCCAGTCAACTGATCTACAATTAGTTCGCACGGCCCAGCACTTTCAGAAAAAGGATGCTGCTAAACATGATGTCTCAATACACGCTGTCTTCTGTTCAGGACGAGTTTTTTAGCATTTTTCTCTTTATTCCTTACACTTGAGAGAACATAAATGGCCACATGGGGGATAAAATTAGTGGCGCCGTTAGCATATGAGTCTTCAGTACTCTTGATGAACATATTATCAATTAAATTTGTAGTTTTGAATAAAATTCATTCTGATTAAATTTATGAAAGAATCTCAAAGTCCGTTGAAATTTGACATTCCAGATTTTCCTAAAGTATAGATAATAGACCTGTCTTAAATTTATGGAGTGAGAGATAGAAATATATCCCAGTGATGTCCATGCTCTGAACTCATACCATGCTCTTTGGCTGGCTCACCACCAGCACCAGCACTAGCGGCAGGAGTGTGGCACACAGGTATCTTCCTCGTGTGGCCAACAACAACATGCAACTATGTTACTATTCATTGATGTTAAATTAAGGGATCCATGCCTAAGTTGTGATTATTAAAATGGATTTCAATTTCAATGATCTAAAAGGGGCTTAGAAGGCATAAAGCTAAGTGTTGTCTAAAGTTTAGCCAACCTCATAAAAATTTTAGATCACAAAAGTGAGCTAAAGTGATCTAAAAATTTTAATCCTTAAGTTTAGATGACTAAACTTTAGACTAGAGAAATCAAACATATTCTAGGGTCCCGTTTGGATCCTTAGAATTGAATTTATTTTAATAATTATAATTTAAACATATATTAATTAAGCTAATATGGTTGTATATAGATTATATTTGTATATTATTGTTGGCTAATACGAGAGAGATAATTATGTGTTCCATTTCTATCGTAGGGGAGCGAGTCGAAGAGCATGTTATAAGTTGCAAACTATAAACGTAACATGGTGCTCTATAGAATCAATTTACATCTCTCATCCTATGATTTTAAGATAGGCTATGCGGACTTTGAAAAGTGGTGGAATATCAAATTCTAAAATAAATAGCCTAATTTATTAAGTAGATTTGAATTCCACCAAATGGAGGAATCCAAACCGCCCCTAACAGAATTTTAAGTACGAAACACTATACGCTTGTTCAAGTAGATGTAGATACACCCGGCCGGAAGCGGGGATGGAACATTGGGATATTTCTGTGTGACAAAAAAAGTTTGTAATGGAGTTCTCTCCAAGACTTTGTTACCACGATAGAATATTATATAGAAGTACAAATACAAAAAAAATATACTCTCTCTGTTCTGAAGTATAAAGATATGTAGCAAATTCGATGTATCGAAAGTTAAAGTCACGTATAATTTGAAATGGAAAGAGTATTAAACAACACTTACGGGCGCCCCATCACACATGTCTTCATCTCTTCTTATAATGAACTATCGAACTTGCGGTAGACTTGCGTCGCATTAGCGTACCCGTCCAATGCAAGTCCAAGTAGACTACGTGAAGCCGATACAAACGAAAATAAAGAATCTAGCTATACCGTTTCGCTTTCGCAGCAACTAATTAACCGCGTGCATGCAGATAGTATGACGCCATTTATGTACTAGCAACCTTGGACTTGCGTGCCATGGTAACCACATGGTGAAAGCGTTCCGCGTCACAGGGGACCTTGAGCACCCCCTGCTGCCCGTACCCAAACTGCTGTTCGGCCATCTCCAGCAACGCCGCCATGCAGGGCTCCTTGAGGTCTCTCACGCGCACCAGGACTCTCGTCTCCGAGCCTGCACCTTCGTCGTCGTCGTCGCGAACCAGCACTAGGGGGAGATACCCTTTCGGGACGATCCTCTGCTTGTCATCGTCTTCACGAATAGCACCGGGCACGCAGCTCGCCAAGGCCTTGGCGGTGGCCTTTCTTGTCCAAGCGGCCATTGTTGTTCCTGTGATACGTATAGTGCTGTGGATTTGCAAGGTGGATACTTGATAGGCTATATGTGCCGGCCTTTTTCTTATGATGACTTGATGCTCAAACTCGATGATGAAGAAGAGATGCAACGCAATGCGGGGGTTTTTATATAGGAGTGCTGGTGGTGGAGGTTCAAAGCCGATTAGGACTTTTTCCAGTTCAGTCGACAAACGTGACTTGTGTGATTGGGCATAGTGACACTGACCTGTACGTACGTAGGTTCGTACGTAATGTAAATTGACGAGTCACGGTCTGTGTTATATATTTTCTGTCCCCGTCAATCGCCATTAATCAAATTCAGTAATAAAAGGCTCCTATATATTGTACTCCTCTGTTGGGGAGAGAATTTCATTCGAGTTTTATGCGTACTTAATATGCTACGTAAGAATTTTTATGACATGATAATGTTTTTTTTAAAAGAGAGAGAAAATTTAACTTTCCTGTATCACTAGGATTGAGGGATTGACAAAAAAATATAAGGAAATGGGATTGAGAAAGAGGATGCACTGGAGTAGTTTTTTCATTTATTCCCCTATATGACAGGTTTTAGAGAAAGAGAATTGTTTTTTTTTTAATCCGTAGTGTTGTTCTAAGGGACAATCGTCCTGTTGTACGAGTGACTACCAATTGAGGTTAGCTAAAATTAAACACTCCAAATCTCCAATAGCCTGCTGGTCTGATACGTCTGCATGAGTTCATTGTAGAGCAGGTTAACCTCAACAATCGGTAATTCTATTTTTGTTTTTGCTTTATTTACAAAAAGCTGGCGTCTAGGCCAAGCAGGCTTTTTTTTTTTTTGAAACTGGCCAAGCAGGCCTTTGCTCTGAAAAGAGTAACGTTCAAGCAGGCCTTCTGCCGTGTCGGTCGGTTTGATTTGATCGACGTGTACGACGACCGAACAAGGACACGTAGTACGCACATTGTACTTAGCATGTTGAGTAGAGACGCTGCCTATCAGTGGCTGAGTATGTTCATTTGTGTTGTTAACAAAAGGAATATCACTTTATTTGTCTTCTCCAAAAAAATGATGTAATAGGTTAACTTCGCCAACATATAGTATATCACAAAAGTAATGTTGAAATGTCTAGCATATCTCATGTTAACATTTGAGATAAATTTTTGGGTCCTTATCCACCGTAAATATATAGCAGAAATAATGTTCTGTAAACCACAATATATAAATGTAGAAACTATAATTTTGTTATTTAAAAAAATAAAATTATATGGGGTGTCTTTTATTTATTTTGCATTGGATAGAATAGAATGGTGCGACCCTGTTTCATTTCTACTCTCGTCATTCTAAATTGTAAGATGTTTTAAATTTTTAGATAAATTGCCTTTACAAT